ACAACTAAAGTACTTGCCACTGGAAATCTGAAATCAGAGCTGGGAAATAGATATAGTCACTCCCAAATTAGGGCTTTAACATTCATAAGGCACTTTGATTTGGAACATTAGGAACAAAAGTATGTTTTTATCATAACTTTCATCCACTTTCATCATGCAAACCACTTCTTCCAAATGGGATCTAGTGGTGTGAACTCACATTTTATTCCAGGACTTGCTATAGCTCCTGGTGCCCACACAGAATAAAAATGGAAAAGTTGCAATGTCCCTCATCTCTCAGAGACAGAAAGTATGACATGAGATAGGTAATGCAGTTTCTACTGTATGTTAAGGAAAATCCTCATAAAATTTTTGGTAGACTATCTTTAAACTGGAAAAGCTTTGTATTACAGAAAGTGATGATTTGAGATACAGCTCAAAGGACAACACACTAATTGTCATACAAGCTCGTATTATTTTTCACCTTAATAAAGAACATACTTGTCTAGCATTATCAGTATATCATTTTAATAAATAGAGCTTTATTTTCAAAATTTGTGGGAAAAAATTCACCTATTAAGCATTTGTTCAGATACAGAGCAAAAACCACAGGATGTGCTTTTCCTCTTTTCAGAATCTGTAGGCAACTGGTTAAAAATTTTTCTACTTAATAAGTACAAAACAAACCACTTGTGCATGAGATATGCTGAAAACAAATGAATTAATTTTAGTACTAGCAAATGAATAACTGTGGTTCTGAGCAAAATCTGTTTTGGTCAGAATAATTCCACTGCTCTGTGCTTGCCAATGTTGCTGCCACGCACTTGGGTTCCCTGGAATGAGGCCATCAATTTCAGCAGTGTAGAATGAAAAGCTGAAGCAAGAAGTGTAAATAAGCATACTGTGCTTTTGAAGAGGTGATCCAAAAAGCCTGGGAAATGGAAAATAGTTGTTATTATGTACTCGTTGTAGATAAAGCAATATATGTTACAATGTCCTAGAGAGTTAACTCATGTGTGAAACCAGGAAGGGTAAAACTACTTTCAGATAAAGGGTCCTTTTCTAAGCTCTCTGAAGTTCTGCCCTTGCATTTTTGTATGTTCCTGTGTTTATCCACACAAATAACCAGGAGGAATGACTCTTGTGTGACGTGGAACCACCCTTGTGCAACTACAGAATCAGGTCCTCTGGCTTTGATCCTGGAAGTTGACGTAAAGTAATGGGGTCTATACATTGGAAAAACAATAATTGGCGAAACAAAGTTCTTCTGAGATAGAAGAATTCTCTTTTGTTGACTAAATCTACTAATTTCAACAGGGCAAGACTATTGTGGAAGGTGACGGGATTAAAAAAAATGGACATTGGTAATGAAACTGCATATTAATTTGGATGACAGCATCATGCAAGGGAACTGAAAGAAAATGATGTGAAATAACAGGAAATATTTTGCTTATGTACTTTAAGCCAGATATTTACACTGGCTTATCCGTTATAATATTCATTATTGTATTTATTTTGCATCGATTATTCATAATGATTGACTATGAATGTATTCCTATTTAGATTTTTATGACTGGTTAATCCCCTAAAATTCTCTCTAATCCATATTTTTTCTTTTTGGAGCATAATGATAATACTCATTATGAAATAAGAAACAGGTGTAGGACTTTATCTTTAGAACGCATCAAGAAAATAAAATGTCTTTAAATGAAATTATACAAATAAATGCATCTCATTTCAATTACTTTGGAAAGTGGTCTTTGTGCTTGTACCAAAAGTAAATCTTTGGTATTTCAGACCAAAATAGTAATCTCAACAGTTTTGGTGTGAGAGTGATTAAGTTCATTTTTATACTTGTGGTATTTTTTACATCTAGAATTGAAACACAGGATTGCTAACTAGAGAATATTATAATTAAAAGAAACCCTAATATAGCTAAGATGGAAATGACAGGAATAAAGGGCTCAGATATAAAAAGTAAACATTTATACATCTGTTTCCCAGAGGCTGACAAAAGTCCCTCTTTGATGTTGGCTTGGTGCTCTTTCAGACATCTATCAAATATTTTATCAAATATCAAATATTGTGAATCATCAGTATACTGACTATCATTCTGGGGATGGAAGAAGTTATGCTGTAAAATAAACTAAAAAAAAAAAATAAGGAGGGTGGTTGAGTCAGATAATAAATTATTTCAGATTGCTCACAAAACAGCTTTTTGTAGCACCATTGGCAATAAGCTACTTAGCTTATTAAACAGCATGCAGCTTAGAACACTTTAAGAATCTTCCGTACTCAAGAATCTCATCTAAAATAATAGATTTACAATCAGTTTGTGACCTTCCCAGCTTTCACGTCCTCTGTTTGTCTTGCTTGTGTTCTGTTAAACAAGAAAAGTGTTGTGACCCATAATTGCAGGCAGATTCACAGCAGGTTTTGAGGAGCTTTTTTTGCCACGGTGTCCGAGCTGTCTCCATCTGCTGCTGTCTTGTGTGCTCCCCACAGGGGGACCTGGCTAATTTTTCAGTCAATTAGCAGAAGGGTTGCTTTTGTTCTCCAAGTGCACCCTCCCGGGCTCCTCTTACACCCTGGACACACTATTCAGATGTTGAGAGTTTTCAAAAAGCATATCATGTTATTTTTTTTCTACTGACCTTTGTGACATTGTTGAGCAAATGCTGTCTCTTGTAGTCATAGACACTTACATTAAATTGTCTAGAACTAACTTTGGAATGGTTTTAATACAAATATTAATGTATATGTATTAATGACTTTTCTTAAATGATCTCTGAAATCTTCTGTCAAAGCCTAGTCATTCCTTTTAATTCAGAATGAACCAGTTGACAGACTAGTATCTGCATCAGGATCATTATTTACTGTATAATTTACTCTTTTAATTGAAAAAAACCAAGTTCCTCAGCAACTGCTTCTGCTACTTACCTTCTAGCAAGGAACATTTAAATGTTGAAGAGAAACTTCAGGTTATGAGCACAGCTCCAGTTTCAGTGAAAAGCACTTACATATCACATGAAAAAAAGAGCTTGAAAGAGTAGGTTTAATTGGGCACACGTATGTTTACACCTCTGCATAACTAGCAGAGGGATAATGCAAACATTATATAGTGGTTGAATCATAACCTGATATTCAAGCTTCTTGTGTATTCTCTGTGTTGCTTTCTATGAATTTTAATCAGGATTTGGCTAATATGCACTCCTTGCAAGACAGAAAATGCTGTTTTTTCAGTATAACAAAATATTACTAGATTTCTGGAAAAAAGTCAGTGTTTTCTTCTGAAAGAATATAGTTGAGCTAACAGAAAGCAATATGCTTTAAGCCCCCAATTTATGCACATTCCATTTGGAATGCTATCTTGCCGAGGTGTCCCTGAGCCTAATCGGCTTCAAGAAATTTCGAACATCAGTTTACGGTTTACATATGATATTCTCCATGTGCAATAGCTACCATTGTATACTGTGGGAGAATATAGAATCCTTCTCTTTAATTTCACTGTCTTATCTTTTATTTGTGATTTCTACCTTGGATGCAAATGCAGATCAGTGAGGGTATTTTTTCTTCTCCTTAGCTCCATGATCACGCTGCTACTTTTTACAGCAGGATATCAAGTGAGTTCATTTTTCTGTAACCTTTCATCTGCCCAGCCTCTCGGCTATATCTTTCTATAGTTAATAAATATACTTTTTCTCAGTGTTAAGCAATAAAATATTCACTGGGTCTGAGCTGGGGTTAACAGATTTCTGAAAATTTTATTGCGTGACAGCCTGTCCTGAATAATCCCCTCAGCTGTCTCATGTTCTGGGGCAGAAATGATCTTATGTGTCACTCTAATAGTCTAGAATTACACTTGTATCACTGTCACCAGCATATGGGGCTGTGTATACCCCTAGGCCCAGCTCCCTCTCTTTCACGGCATTTAAAATGATAACATTTGGCAAAGCCAGTTTTGACAGAAAGTGAACTCTCCTTTCCGCGCCGGTGACAAAGGCAGCCACTGGAGGCCTGACACCGAGCAGCCAGTCATCATACTCTTTGCTGGGTAATGATCGTGGGCTTCCCTCCTCTTAATAACCACCTCGCTGCAAGGGGAGGCTGCAGCGCAGGTCTTCACTTAATTATACAGTCTTCGTCTTAAGTGCTTTATTCATGGGAGGCCTTCAGCTGCTCAGGCCTTATCGTAGCTTTTCTTTTTTTCTCCATGCTGCCAAATTGTACTGATTGCTGGGCAGGCAGTGGGAGAAGGAAGGACTTTGGGAAAATAACAGGCAGGAAAACAAAATGGCTTGGGTGTGCTCACAAGCAAAAATATTTTCGGAACTGCACTTTTGATTACCGTGATAAGTCTATGAAGGTATTGCACTGCTAAAGGTGGTATACGGCCTGAGAGGAGAAAAAAAGGGAAAGATCCAGAATGAAAGAGTAGAAAAGAAAAGAAAAAACCAAAAATTTCCGTCTGAAAGTGAGGCTAGACCCTTAAAGGTAATTTTTAAATACAAACAAAATAAAATGTGACAACTCAGGAACCTGGCTCTTACATGAACCTTTTATGTAGGATTGCTAAACCAACCAGTAGAAATTTATGAAATGAAGAAAGTTCTGCCAGCAGCTGTTCCTGGGAGTCAAGGGAGGACATAAGACATTATTTACTGTTGCCACTATGCAAACTGTATTCATATTTTCCTCCCACGCCCCCAGTTTTAGTTTGGAATTTGAATTTAGAGGATATTCACTTCTTACAGTTTACTTTCACCATTCTAACTGTATGCATGTAAAGGAAGCCCTGACTCATTTCCCCATTTCCCCTTCTCCATAATGCATCTTGTCTGAAACTGTAATAATTCCCAGTAGATATCTTTACTGACATATGGTTTATTCTGCTCTTAGGTAGTACACATTTTAGGATGACTATTAAAAAAAGAATAAATAAACGTTTTTTATTCCCCTCCCCTATCCCACCTATATTAACACAATGTTATCTACAAATATTTTCAGTACTTTTATACTTAGATGACTTTGTCCACACCATGGAAACGCCCCCTGTTGTCATGCTGATATCCAGGTGTTTATTTTAGAAACATCTGGGGAAGGTTTTCAGTTTTCTTGAATTCCTGTTTCAGAAAAGAAGAGCTGTCTTGAGCTGTCTTTCATTTCCAGTCTACAGTGAAATGTGCTCCATAATATGGAGAAACGAGCAATGGTCTGGACCACAGCATTTTCACAGAGATCTGGAGAATTGATTAATTTCAAAAAGAAAAGGATTAAAAAAAATATTGTCCCAGAAAATTAACTTGTGAGAGTGTTGGATAATAATCTGAACTGTTTGAAATTTGATTTCAACCAAATTCCAGATCTTTTGTGTTTCAGTCAATTCTCTTTCTACAATGGCAATCTCTTAAGGCTTACCACTGCACAACCTGAAACCCAATGATATGGCTGCATGAAGCGTAATGCTCAATGACCTCTTTTGTAGGACTATAGAGATCTCATTAACATTAATACCATTTGTGGAGAACCTTAGGACAATGGGAAGCAGAGCTTTAAAAAACATGCATTCACCCACAGATGTGCATTGAAATTTTAAAGACATGTACTGGATTGTTAGGAATATGCACGCTGAATTTTAAGCAAATCCCTGAAGTTTCTAGTGCCACTGTTCAAGCACTTCATTCTCTGTTATGTGCAGTGACTTTCATGAACAGTTTAAAGCAGTGATATGAACTATTTGCCTGAAACAACTCTGCACTCAAACTATGGATCTCCTGACAGCTCTGTCATGATTCTACCCACTGAGACACAAGCAATCCCTCTCCCTGGCCACAAACACACTAGCTCTTGTTATTGTGATCAATAATCCTTAGGTAGCTGTTAGGCATGGAGTTAGGATGTGCATGACTTTAAACTTGGAACCTCACTGCTCTGTCCAGGTGCTTGATCAAGCTCAGTACATCGACTGTAAAAAGCCATATAATGACTGTAGGTATGATCCTTTGTGTTCCATGTAAACATTTCTTCCCTGTCCAATAGAGAAAGTGGTAACTTCAGGTTAAAATTATATATCCCTGATTTATCATTTCTGTTAACTTCTGGCTGCATATGATTGTGTATGTGCATCTAAACACACACGTGAATGCTTATATATAGAGATGCACACACCCACAAACACATGTGAAAATATATAAGTATTTATGGAATTCTATGCTGGGTTCACTAATTTAACACTGTTTACATGTGTCTTAATTTGGCTCTGCCTGGTAGCATTTTCAAATCATTTAGTAGTTGATGTCAGTAATTTGTTGGCAATGCTGATGTTCAGTGGTGGGCAGAGAGGAAAACAACAGTGAAGAAGAGAAACTTGGTCAGGTTACAAGTTGCTGATAATGATTTTAAAGAAAATGAGCCCCATCTGGCAAGTATATAACCATACGTGCCCAGATAAATGGAGCTTTATATACTACTGTATGGAGACAGTGACTGTAAGAGGTTCAGTCTAAGTGGCTAGGGATCTAAATTATCTAGTGGGATCATTTTTCTTCATGAGGAAGGTCTCATGTCTAAGGCAAGATGGTATCATTCCACGATGGATGCCTATAGACACAGAGAAGTTCATTACTCACCCCGTTAAGTGATGATGAAAGAGCAAAGCAGAGTTAAAGAGATGTAGGGGCTTGGTTCTGCCTATGTGTCTGGTCCAAGAAGAGTTAGCAGTCCTTCACTGTGAGTTTTGGTCTCAGTGTTGTTAGTTTTTCTGTGAAAAGAGAAACTCTTGGGTTTTGTCTTCAGGATTCAAACCACGGCATTTTCAGCTGGATTGTTCAAGACAGCAAAAAAGTTCTATTAAGTAGTGTGTACAAAGTACAAGAAAGTAGCAGGGGAAAAGGCAGAACTGTGAACCATGTAAAAAACTGCATTTTCACACATTCTGATGTTCATCTGTTAAAATCTGTGCAGTATTTTAGAATTCAGTTACATGAAAAAAGGATGCTTATAAATTATTTCTAAGCTTTATGGAAATTTTGTCTTCTTATCCACTGTTGCAGCATCCAAAATTCTTAAAAAAGAATCAAGCCAAGCTCCTAAATGCCATGCTTACCTGATACCCATGATTCCTTCCAAGCAAGCATCCTATTGGAGAATCTGTTACCACATCAGGTAGAAATGACCATACACATGTGATTATGACAATCTAACTATCATAAAATTAGTTGCCAGATTTATTTTTAAAGATTTTTGCATTCAATTCAGAGTATAAGCACAGCTGAACATATGGACCACACAGCATGCCACACTGTCTCACATTCATATGTTCAGCGGCTAAGGCACTTTTCCTTGCAAAATTTGCAAAATCCACTGCTTCACCAATTAGACTTTTATTTATATTTGTTCTGATCAACCATTTTTCTAATGGGATGACCTCATAATCTCAAATTTTAGAGGAGAAAATTTGAATAGTCACATGGATTAGTTCCATAGGATTTCTCAGAAGGTCTTATCAATACAGATGTACGTCAGATTGTTTTACTCAGAAAATCTCATTAAGACTGGGGCATGCCAAAAAAGTTATTTTACCTGGCAGAGTAAAGAAGTTATAATAACAAAAGATGAAAATAGACCCCTTTCTGCTCTTTTCCCTCAGATAATTTTCTGTTTAAGGTACAAAGCAGGTATTTTAGAAAATTTGAGGTCTATACTTGGCACAATAATTGACATTCTGAAGAACCTCAGCTACATGGTTTAGCTTCTGCACCTTTTTCAGGAGCAAACTGAGGAGTTTATTTCTCTTTTTCTTCATTTGTTTATACTGTGTTTATTTGGATGTTGTTGTTTAATAAGTGAATACGTAGTATCTGGCAATATTATAGGGCAGTAAAGAGTGTGAGAAGAGTGTGGGGCAATTGCAATCAATCTTATTTTTGTCTTCTATTTTGTCTTGTTATTTAACATGGGAGAAAAAAATTGTCTGAGGGGAAGCTGGCTGGTTTGGTTGGCCATTTACTCAGAAGTCACATTCTTCAATGCATAGTGAGGATGATGGACTTGGATCAGAATAAATTACAGTGCCAGAAAAACAATTTAAAAAAAAAAATTAATGAGTGCTCAAAAAAGACAAGGAAGTAATCTTTAGAGACAAGAAATGAGATTGTACACTCTCCACATTCTAATTTTTGACTGGAATGTGAGGATACAAAGTTGTCATATTGTGAATATTAAATTCTGTGATAATATCACATATGAGTAATTTGCTTTGGCCTTGTGCACATTGAATTAAACTGTATGAAGTACAAGCTCGTTGTAAATTCTTGTAAATATCATTGTGCCAGCCTTTTTGATCCTCTATATGCTGGAATTTCTTAAGCAAACTTAACAGTTTCCCAGTGTCATGTAATTTGTATTCACGTTTGTGTATGAGTTAAATCCTCGTCCTTTCATGGATGAACCTCAGAATTTTTTTCCAGCTATTTAATATATCAAATATCCATTACCTTGTAACATGGAATTATGGTAACAGAAGTTAGACAGACAAGATGCAAATGGTTACACAACAGTAGAGGGAAATAAAGTTTTGATTTTCAAGGTTTGTTGTATCTGACTGGTTCAGAATATGTCACAGTTTCTCTATACCTGATGAGAATTCCTTATGCTAGTATGTCATATCTCTACTTGAACCAAAGCAATGATCCAGGCCATAATAGGAATGATCTTGGAGGAGAACTACAGTGTTAGGACCACTTCAGATTGGGTGAAGTCATAGTCACTTGAGTCAGAATCAAGTGTATGAGGTGTAATGGTGACTATGAAGCTGATGAATGAGTGGCCATTTAAATGTGTTCTGTTTAAAAGGAAGAGAAAGGTATGTGTAGAACACAAAAATAGAAATGCTTTCTGTGGCAGGACCAACAACTATGAGAAACAGCTGCTAATATGGCTGGAAATAGTTGTCTGGTTTTGTTCATGATCATATGAAGTTTTGCTGCTACTGTGAGAGTCATGAGAACATTGTTTCATTATACCATGGGAACTAAGGAAAGAGAAAGAACAATAGGCCTGTTTCTGTATCAGGAAATAGAAGTGCTGCAAAATATGACATCAGATACAGCACTGAAAAGAAAGAGTTCTAGCTTATGGGTACCAATATTTGTCCACAGAAAGCAAAAAGAAAACTACATAAGCATTTCAGGAAATAGGAGAAGCAAATGTCATTTTGTATTTAAGTCATACTGGTTATGAGTATGGTTAAAATTTATTTGTGTGTTATCATGTCCACTAAATGGCTTTAAATAACAGGTGTAAAGTAAGCTGGCAAAGACTGAAGGAGTTAAGAAAGATGATCCATAATATCCATAGTAATGTTGTCTTTTAATTCAAGTATGTTCTATTTGTTGTCACCTAGAAAGTCTTTCAGAAAATATCAGAAAAGCATCTGGAGATCAATATTACTAAAGGTTGCCACAGAGGTTTGACTCATCTTATGGTGTTCCCTTAAAACCAGTCTTCAACATCATTTTTTTAAAGCATTTTAACTGCTTTAAAAAAAAATGTAGCGAAGTAAAATATGACTCATTATGAAATTCAGTATTAGTCTCAATAACTGTTTGTGTGAACATCTGACATCCATTTTCTACTCAGTAAAGATGCTTAGCAAGGTAATTCAATACTTATTCTTACTATTCCGTTGTCTCTTGCCAGGTCATGTCAATGGCAAATTGAACCTCAGTAAGGAAAAGAACACAAAAAACACCTTGAAGAAAAGAGAGTAGCCATAAAAAAATTATAGACAATGGAACCGATAAATAAGGCCCAAACACTTTAATGTCTCAATGGAAGAAAATAATCTGAATCTATCCACTGAATTTAGTATGACTTACAGATACTTTTATGAGTGACTGGATCTGAGCTAATATATTCTGTTGAAAGATGAAGTATATGGCTTATACTCCTCTGTGTTATTGCCTCTATTCTGGATCAGAGTGAACTTTTGCTTGGCCAGGTTGACAACAGGCAGATTGAGGCTGGTTCTGTTTTCATCCATCCATGCAAACATGCCTGCTGACACCTTTCAAGAACCGAACTTCGTGTCTGTCATATGATCAGAAACATGTCACAGTTCAAGTCATCCTTTATCTGGCAATGTATTGGATGTAGTACCATTGTATTTTAAATGGTCCATGAATATGACAAAACGTTATATTTTCTTCAAAGTAAAATAAAATTAGCAGGGTACAGGCTACACCAGAAAAAGAAGAAAACAACAAAACAAAACCAAAAATCAAAAACAAACCGAAAACAAAACACTGTAAAAAACAACAGAAAAATGTTCACTAAGTTAGTATTACTCTCACACATCTGGGAAACTGTCTTTGGCTTTCCACTGTCACAGGCATTTTTAACAAGTAGGATAGGCAAAGGCTCAGCATCAGGATGAGAGATAGGACAGGTTTCTATTGCATTCTATTCTTCAGGCATTCAAATCTGATGTCTTTAACCTGTGTTTTTTATGATCAAAAAACTGTCTTCTGCTTCCTGGTGAAAAGCATCACAGTAAGTCTCTTAGTGGATGTTTGCAAGTTTGCATAAAGATACTTCTTCAGGAGAAGTGGAGAGCCATTTATAATATTCTTTGCTAAAGTCTTCAAGACATTTCTTCTGTGTGTCTGAACCTCCAGTACTACATGGGTGCCATCTTTCCTGTGATCTTGTTTAGATAAGATAGCTCTTCATGACCAGGTATCTTCTTTTCCTGTTCCTGTCATTTCCTGTCAAGGTTTTGAGAATCATAGCAATGTCTTAATTTCTGCTGCTGCTTCTGTCAATGGCTTTTATCTGTTCTGAGGCTGAGAGAGACATGAGAATGTTTTGCAACAATATGAAACTATTTCAGGCATTCAAAGCACCTCAACTGAATTTTTGGTTTCCCATTTATTCAGAATGCAATGTGAAAGCTAGAGGTCTTGAAAAGTACAAACCAAGCACCAGTAATTTTCACCTGAACTCATTCAAACTGAAGCCAGCAGGTTTCAAAGAGCTCTAATAATTACTGAGAGACTTAGCAAAGGCTTGTCTGATCCTATATTTGTGACTTAGTACAGCATTCTAACCTGCTTTCACACTCTCCGTAGCTAAATTAAGAGCTCTTAGACAATGATGGATGGCAAGTCTGCCACACTCTGACTTTAAAGAAGTTGAAATAAAGTACCAGCTGGAAAGAAATAATGGAAATGTGGATGGGCTGTTCAGTACACATGTAAATGTAAATAACACATATGAGGGACAGTGGAACTGAAAAGAAAGGCTTTAAGATATGTTTCCATATCTTCCACATAAGGTCTTGAAATTCCAGGTTATAGACCAATAAATATTATTACAAGAAATAAAAGTTTTTGTAACATATAAAGAGAATTAGTATATATCCATAATAGAAACCATAAGAGGTATAATGGATATGATTCAGATAAATGTAAAAGCTCATGTAGCAACCTTTGAAGACAATTTTTGTTTTCACACAGAATGGCACAATCTGATAAGAACAAGAAAACACAAACCTTAGGAGGAACTTGTGCTTTTCCCCTTTTCTGTTCTCTGTAAAGGTGATTATGATACTTCATACAGTCTGACAGAAAACAGCTGAGTTAGATGTTAGATTTTAGCCAAGTGTTAGTATACATTTGCCCAGAAAGACTGACTAGCAGGTGATATGTTGGACTGCTGTGTCTGCTACCTAGCCTGAATACATCTTGTAATCATCATCTTTCATTTTTGGCTGCACTTCTGTCATGAGTTCTTGTGGTGTTACAGGTACTGCACTCCCATTTCATGGCTGTCCCGTTGCTGGAAACCTTCACCCTGGGACTGGCAAATTGAAATCAGTTTTTGTTCTGGGTTAGTATCAGTGAAGATACTTCAGATTTTCAGGTGCTGTGTGAGCATCTAAATGTTGTAATAATTGGCATGTTACAAAACCAAGGATCCTACCCTGACCTCAGATGTTTGGAGGAGTGTGACTTGAAATGCTTTAACTAAGCCTCAACTACCCTGCAAGTCTGCATATATCTTCCCAAAAATAGTCTTGGACATAATATTTGGTCACAGCTGAAAAGAGGCAAAGAGCAGGCAATTAGAAAAATGTGGCAACCTTCTGAATTACTTTAAGTACTCTATAAATAAGCTACTGAAAGAAAAATTCACTCTTTATTTATTTACTTACATAATTAATTAATTTTACTGGATCCAGACATGTACCATATAGACTGAATTTACAAAAAAGTGACATACGAACTGCAAATAACAGAAAAGAATCATAATCAGTAGGGTAGATAGTGTGTTTAAAACTATAAATACTGTTATGGAAATATATGTAAATGGTTCTATAATGTCTTTAAGACTTAAGTTCTGAGACACAAACCATTTGGAGTACCATTTTTTTTTTTTTTCAACCGCAAAAAAACCAAATGCTCCCGTTGCGTTATAAAATGAGTCGTCACAGACATCTAACCTTGAACAAGAGCTGATTGATTAGATCTGAATCCAGCTGGATAGCACTACCTTGCTTATACAAAACCAGTTCTTTTTTTTTTTATTTTTTATTATTCATAGGTTACATCAGTTTTTAAAGTATGACTTTTGAGGCCACATCACCACTGGAAAAAAAATCTGTCATGTTTCAGAGTTCAGGAAACATTACTGAGAACTATTTTGTGTGTCTTTGTTGAACTAAGACATTATGTTTTCAAAAAAAGTCAAAATAGGAACTGAATTCTGTTAAGAAATACAGTGATCTGTCATAGAGACTCAGTAAAATGTGATAAGGGAAGATTTATTTTGCATTCTGTATTTAAATAATGTACTTTTTTGAACATATAAATCTAATGCCAGTTTTCTGCCTTCTGTGGAAGAGACTGTGATCAATTTCTCTCTGCTTGGGTTCTGGACAGACAGTATGCATCTGTTGAAAATTTATTTGAATACCTGGATGCATGTATATCCTGATTAAACACTAATAGACACAGTGTAGCCATCCTGCACAGGCACACTAATATGTTTGCTAAGCTGATCAATAATAAGATTGATCAGTCTTTTGCTCGGCCAAGTTAATCATGGTATTGATCAGCTTAGCAAACACATTGCTTTCCTTGTGCAGTATTACTGTACGAGGGCTCCTCTCCACCCCCATCAACTGGACATCAGGAGATTTCAGAAAATGAAATATAACCACATTTTCTACCGTAAGTGCTCCTATTCCTTCAAGCCCATCTTCTACAGATAGCTAAAACATTTCATGATTAAGGTGTTTAGACGCCTTAGCACTGTCTTGCAAGATTGAGCATTGTTAAAAACCTGGGGAATTTCAGAATCTTTTTTTTCTAAGACATAACATACTCAGCACAGGCTATGGCTATAATAAGGCCCTCGTTCTGGCATTAAGTATTTGAGATTTCCTTATTCTATATGAATCCTTTAAAAGCATCTCTCATATTAGAGGCTCCAGGCTTTCTTAAGGGAAATTACTGAAGAGAAAACTTCAATAGAATCAGAAGATATGGATCTTGGGGTAAATTATTAGCACAATGTTTGAATTTTTAACTCTGGAACAATATAACAAGACATTCAATAGTTTCAAATTAACATTAAAAAAAAATTCACAGTTATTTTCCTATAGGTAGTGTTAAAAAAGGCACTCAGCTATCAAAACAGGTCTATTTTAT